AAAAAAAAAAAGGGAAAAAACCATTAAAGTTCGAAGTTATGCTCTAAATTAAAAAACTTTACTATATAACATTCATGGAAACCAAATTCTCATTTCCACTAGATCCGTTCAGACAATCCATTAGTTCAACCTATCCCTTCTTTAACCAGTTTCTCCCAATACCTTTGATACGAATAAAAAAAAAATCCATAGGTTGTACCAAAACCCTAATCACTGGCAAAAATTTTTTCGCATGAATGGAGAATTAAACATTTATTACGTGTGACGCACTCCACATGAAAAACAGTATACACTACCATAAGAAAACACTCTATGCATTTTCTAGAAGGCTAAAGACAGGAAGTCTTGCGACGCACTGCATCGCTTTAACACTGAAAAACCATTGATCAGTGGAAACTTGAATATTAAAGTACAAACGCTTTCTAATGCTTCCTTATTTACCCCATTTAAAATAGATATCATATCTGCTTTACCTCAATATTTTAAATTTCAAGAAGTACCAGAAACAAGAGGAAAGAGGATCTAAAATTGTGTTAAAACCACCACTTCAATTTCAAAAACCAAAAACAGAAGTCTTCTAAGATAAAAAAGAGCAGGAAAAAATAATAGACTACACCAAAACCTTTACCTCCAATGAGTAAATACCTCTTTAGCAGAAAGAATAGATATAAAAAACTGTAACTGGTTCTGCCAATTAGTTTTAAATTAACAAAAAAACTTTTAATTGTAAAAATTAAACATTTAATTTGAATAAACTGTTCTTTTTTTTAATAAAAATCAAAAGTCCTAAATAAAAACTTGTACCAAAACTAAGACATAAACGAAATTAAGATGAGCGAAAGATCAACAAAATTCAAATGATTCTAAATTAAAAAACGTCCAAGCAGCACCGTCCCAATTCTAAACCACTCATTTAACCAAAAAGATTTAGAAGTTCCCGCAAATCTAATAGATCATCCTTCTCTATAACAATCCACATTTACATTAAGCAGAAGAAAAAAAAATGAAAAATGTAGCGACAGCAAAAAACTAAAGCAAACTGACAAACGTGGGAATCGAAAAAGTATTTTTTTCCATTAAAAACGTGAAACATTAGGTTTGTTATAAGAAAGCCAAGAATCCTAACTTCGCAGTAACAATGTAACAGTTAAAACACTGACAAAAGAAAAAATTCATATAAAATTTGAAATTTATCTTTGTGACAACTACTAAGCTGTTAAATAGATATGGTTTGAGAAAAAAAGCTCAAACTTTCCAAATACGACTCAAATAAAACACTACAATTTATACAACTGATTACAAGTCCTCATTTCAGTTAAATCTTACGGAGAAATGTATTAAACTATATAAAAAGAGAGTGACTCTAGAATAGAGAATTTAAGAAAAACCAGTCTACGAGCAAACATGAACCACCTATTCAAAACAATTTTCAAGAAAGATAGGTAACCAAGAAAGAGCGAAAAAGCCAACTTAAAAAAACTATTGTAAGGTGTCACCTAGCACTAAATTTAAACTAAAAGAATCAGAAAAAAATAGAAAAAAAGAACAAATAAAATGGTTACAAATAACGACAATACCCTCAACAAAACTAAAATATCTATTAAAAAAGCTTATAAGCTCAAATCGGTTGGAAAACTAACACACTTGTTACGAAAACGTGTACACATTCAAAAGACGCTCCACTTATCCCAGAGCAGCGAGTAAATTCTTATTTGAAATATAATTATTAAATACAAATGCAGTATAATATAATTACAAGAATTCTTTTCAGAAGAAACTTGGTTTAAACTTAATCAAGAAGCTAACCAAATCGATCTCTTCCAGGCTCGTCTTCATCAACACCTAATTCACCGTTTAATATCGTCTCTTCGATAATACCCTCTCCAAAAGTCTCCACGTTTTCGTTGTCAACTTCAGCCATTTTTCCTGCAAAAAAATTAAACTTTCCAAGTGCGTGAACTTTATCGAGAAACTAAACCTTCTACATCAAACCTCGTATACAAAAGTATGAAAAACGCAAATTTTTAGTCAAGCAGAAAAACATGAGTTATAAAGGAAATGTTCACAAAAACCAAATTTCTAAAATTATCTATTTGCAAAACATCGGTGTTTCTTTGCACAAAACTAATCACTAACTTCTTCTCACTTTCCATGAACAGTTATTGCAGTACGCCTTCTCAATATTTTACAAAACAGCTAGACGGCGCATAACAAAAATAAAAGGAAATTTTTTACAACACTGAGATTATTTACTCAATATCATTGAAATTTCTAAATTAAAAATTTACGAAAAACAAATGCAAGATGTACTTATGACTCAGGCGCTCGGAAGATATTACCAAACTGAGGATACTGTAAAACTTCTAAATCTGCTCAAATGAAATATCAGAGAAAAAGAATTTTTTCAAAGTTTGCTAGGTGTTTCGAAGAGATACAAAAGATACCCATTACCAAAAACAATATATGTAAGGAAAGCCTAATCAGGATGAGCTTACTAGTTACCAAATTAATGTAAAATGAAATCGCAATCCTATGAGCTACTCAGCAAAAATAGGAAAGATAGAGGAAATAAGAATGAGAACTCTCCACAAGTACATTAAAGAACGAAGAACAATAGGTAATTCATCTAATTAGTTAACGAGTTCTCTGCAGATCTGATAACATTGAATCCTCACGACACAGAACTTTTGGATGTTTCTCCTCAGCTGAATGCTTTGTGAAGACTGTCTTTTATAACCACTTGAGAAGAAATTTTACCAAGAATTTTCTTGAAAAAAGTCTTCTCCTCTCTTTTTTGCTGGTATTGTCTTAACGAACAAATTAGCGCTGTATTGTAGTAATAATCCGTTGTAATGAAACAATATAAAATAAATGAAATCCATCCAGAAACAACTGCTACTCCTCCATAAACATCGAAATTTTATTGCGCCTTTTAATTCCTTTCTCACAACGTGTTCTTAGCGGTTCACTTTACAATATCTTACCAAATAGCTTTCCGTTACTGGAATAATCAGAAAAGGAATAAAACAAATAAAAAAACCATTAGCATACATACAAATCCATTTACTAGTACTCCTGGACACAAAAGGCATTAAAGTTCTAAAATAACTAACAAGATTGAACAAACAATATCAATTTACCATTATCCGTTTTCGACTCGCGCCAGCCAGTCACACCACCATTCAACGTAGGACTATCAACATCGCTGTTAACATCACTTTTCTGAATGTAAGTCAGACGAACACGCTCAGCACTCATGATGACCGTTGATTAAAAATTAGAGATTCTTAAAAGCTACGTTACCGGGAGGCCGATTTCCACATTCTCATTTGTATTCATCCATATATCGATGAGACACTGAAACAGACTATTTTTCAAGCAATCTAAACGATTTCCTGCACGTTCTTTTTCTTCGATAAACAATCTGAAAACAATTAATCAGTCCCTTGTCATACTTAACAGTATAATTTTGTGTAACTTTTACACTATGAATACGGGACGTCAAGAAGAAGCTACATCAACCTATCTTCATCAAGCCACAAAAAAAGGTAATAACCAGAAGATATATCAAAGCAAATACGAATAAATTATAAAAACATACAGAAAATCGTATTCGTACAT